ATGTATACATTTTTTAAATCTCTTATTTTTGGGGGAAAAAAGATGTTATGAAATATAAAAATAAGTATAACCTAAGAAAAAAAAATCACAAATAAACAATTATAAAATAGATTATTATAATTATAACATATCGCATATTTTCTATATGCATTTTTAAAGATTTAATATAAAAATATGTAAATTTTTATTTGAAAAGTAGCGTTTTTTAAGGAATACATTTTAATTATTATCAGAATTTTTGACGCTAATGAAGTCACTTTCGATAGATATCGCAAACAAGGTCAATGTTTCTGTGCTTGTTCTGCTGTTATCGTTAACATGTCAACTATACCGTGCGTTTAGCAATAACGGTGACTCGTATCCAGGAAAAAATACTTTGCTCGGTTTATTTCCCGGCAGCCGCTTGACCGTTGCGATGTGTGCGTGAGTGCCACATTATGACATCATGCAGGAATGTGTGGATCGTGGGATGTGACTCATGCGATACCAAGTCGCTTCGCTCTTTTGGCGGTAACGCTTCGGTTCGAAGCGATCTTTCGTCGCGCTAAGATCTCGCAATTAATCCGGCTGTACTCCTGAATACTAGCAATTGCAGTGATAAGCATTTCGCGCCGTAAAGCATCAGCAAGCACAAGTGTTGGGACACTAAAAAGTTATCTTGTGGCCTTAATCTGTAATTTGTCAATCGGTAATTAGTTTCCTGGTTACGTAAAATTTCTCGCCGTTTGTGTATGATTTTCTGATAGTGTCGTGATTTTGAAAAGTATGTGTACGTGTGTATATATACGTGTGCGACTCATTACGTAAGTGGTAAATTTAGGCCGCGATACTTATCAACGCTTGTGTGCCTCTTTTCATATTAGTACGTGTGATTGAAGTTGTTGAGAAGATGAAAGTTTAAGTCTGCGACTCTTAATTGCGGTGGGAAAAGAGCGAGTTTTTCGCGTCTACGCGGGCACACATAATACGCAGCATTTTGATGCGTATTATACTGTTTCATGTTGTATTAGTCATGACCTCCAAGAATTCTCCTAGAAAAGCGGATTAATGAACTTGTCGACTGCTCGGCACCAAAGTCGCCTGCGAGAGATAACGCTTTATTATATGACACTTGTATATGACAATTTATTAAATATCACTAATGGAGAACAAATTTAGGTAAAATGTGAATATATAAACATTTTTGATTTGCATATATATATATATGTTCACATTATGCAGATATTTTACGTAAAATATTTAGCTGATTTGTTCGTGAAAACGCGAAAGAATGTGAGTTGTTACGTTTATTGTTATTGATATATCAAATCGTACGTGCAAAAAAAAATACTAATAATCATAACGTGAGTTTAATAAGAAATTATCTTTTTTTTATTCTAATTAATCGCTATAAATTGTTTTGACAATTATAATTAAAAAAATACGAAGACACAGTTACTATTAACTACATGAATACAATCAAGTTTGTTTCGACACGTCACGTCCGCATCGTGAATATATTTCAGCAAGGCAGGTCATGTCCGTCAAATGTCGACAATCGATGAAAGTCTCGGTAAGAGGAGCTCTTTCCGGCGCTTCTAATCGTAATAGTCATGCAATTAGTTTCAGTATTTTTAATTTATAAAGAGATCTTTTTTTGTGAATTTGACAAAACTCCATTGCATATCTCTTTTCGAGTACGTTTATGTAAAACGGTCGATCAGAAAAAGTCGATTACCATATTAATATCGGGAATTATCAAGTAATTATCATGAAAAACAATAATGATAATAAAAAATTAGAGATTTAATAATAAATATTTCGGATTGAACTATATAAAATACTTTGATAAAAATTAGCTCAATAAAAATAATTACTTTCGTTAAGTAATTATTTCGAAGTTTTGTATTCTCTTGGAATATTATCGGAATATATCTATAAAAATAAATATTTTTAGCAATTTCGCGTTGCGTCTCGGTATCAATAATAAAGGCACAAGATGAATGATCGAACACTGGTGGCCAGATAATAGAAAAGCAAGGTCAGAGAGATTTTACCTCACCACTAACAAGTGCAGCAAGTGTCGCGTTTCGGTCCGGGGTCCCAGAGAATGATAGTCCCATCTCTGAGGTCATCTTGCCACTGTTACTAACACGCTGGGCCGTTGCACCAACACGACCATTACAGTCTCGCTCTCGGCTTCGTTCTGTCTTTTTTTCTCTTCACGGGTTCCTCCTGCGCGCTTTCTCTCGCGTGTATTATTGTCAGACGGGAGTGTGTGCGGGTGGCGAGGATCGAGGTCCGTCTTCGCCTCCTCCCCGCCACCTTTTATGCCGCCACCACTACTGCTACCATCACGACCACCTCCTCCTCGTGGACCTAACACGTTCGAATTAGTCGTCTCGTTAACCAGACTTGTGACACACCGAGAAGTCCAGTGCATACATATCGCTTGACCGATTTACTATAAGCGACACGAAATCGTGAGCAAGTCCGAAAGTGCGTGTGATTCCAAGCGCGTGTGTGATCTTCAACATCTCCTTTGCCTTTATGGTGTATAATAGCCGCATGGAAGAGTTCACGATTCGAAACTTCGACATCGTTGACATAATGGATTGTCATGCGTCGATTATGCCGGTCGACGACCATCAGATGGCCTTGAGCAAGTCAGTCGACCTGATCGCAGTCGATTTCTAGTGAATTAAGCCATATACCTGTTGACGTTTACAACCTGAGGCATCAATCTGGAGCAGAGTTTGCGCACTTTATCACGTATATCAAATACGAGTTGAAGAGAACAGCGAACTGAAGCGAACTGAAGTCTCTAACGCGCGTTCCGAGGCGGAAGATACCATCGACGACCAGTCGGGTGATTAACTTCGAGCACGTTCGTTGCCGTGAATTTCTAGACGACGAAGTTTTAGTTGGAATCCCGAAACTTGTTTGGAATTCGTCGCCGCTCCAGAAGCGGCGCGGTGCTCACGTGCTCGCGTAAGGCGGTGGGAGACGATCGTGATCGCTCGTGATCGAACAGCCCGATCGTTTCTTCAGTATTGTGTCGATCGATCAGACAGGTGGATCGTGCACGCGAAGCGTACCATCATCGGGCAGGAAGCCGTTGCTGGACGATCGTTCGTTCGTCGGTTCGTCAAAGTGAGAGGATTCTCCAAGGGGCGTATGTGCTTTAAAGAGACTGAGAAAGGGACGCGTGTTGAGGTTCATTTGGTGCGAAAGAGAAAGACAGAGAGAAAGAGAAAGACGACGTTGAGGGACGAGGAATGGACATCAAGCAGCGTCTGAAATAGGGGGACAGTCTTGTGTCTGTGGTATGTACCTTCTGTGTATGTGTATATCCGAGCCGCGTGTATTTGTATATGTGTCCGCTGTCATGCCGCGTGCACTCCGCAGAACATTATGTGTCCAAAGTTCCTGGCGTGCCTCGCAAGAAGCGCGATACTTGTTGCTCGTTACGTTGCTTGATGTTATAATAGTATGTTCTCGACAATTACGTCACGAAAGTCCGGTCGAGAAGAAAATTTTAAAGCCAATTTACAGAATCAACAAAGTTTTTTTTCTTAGTTTGTATCTCTGTTGAGATATCGGGTTGTTTATTACGATGAATAGAATATATAATATGTACAGTCTAAAAATTTGATTTTCCTTACTTAAAGAACGTATAATAGTTATACACTGTGATATTTAACATTTGTATAACAATATTACCTTATCGGAACTACATATCTCTTTATTTTTAATGTAACAATTTTTTGAATAAGTGTGATCTTTAATTTCACTTGATTTCACTCTGATTGCTTCAATTCTATTTAAAGATCCGAATGCAAACAATCATCTGTGCTCCCTATATGGAACGTATGTGTATACAAAAAAAGAGAAAGGTAGACAAAGAAATCTTTACATGGTGAAATAGATATGCTCATTTAGCTTATTGATCTTGAAAAGAATTTAATACATGTATTAAAAACATATACTTACACATTTGAATTTAATAAAATTGTATATATTTAGCTGTTAGCACACAAATCAAGGGATTTTCGCTGAGTGTTATTCGCCTCGTTTATTTTAAGCTCGCGATTCTGTTATTCTTGGGCGGCATTCTATCTTTAGGTTTTGGCACATGTCTTGCTATAAGTGTTACGTTATAATACTAACTTACGAGTATTAGATACATGTGATATTGAGAACAAACGCAACAGAAATTATGTCACAGCAGAAATATGATCCGTTTTATTTTTCACTAATTTATCCATTATATGTATTTATAATCATGATAAAAATTCCAGGGTACGCTATATTTTGGTAAAACAATATAATTTTGCATGTTTTCACGGTTGAGGAAAAATATTTTACCAGTCATATATGTGTGGTAACCATTATTGTTTTAAAATTCTGCTTTTTCATTGCTTAATGAATACGATGTAAAATAATGCTGCCGTATAGGATGTGTATAAAAACAAAAGTTAGACGCGTCGCATGAATAAAGCGAGTCTCGCGCTACTGTTATCTACATAAAACCATGACAGAGGTTGAGCTAATAAACTTTGATCGATAAATCTCTGGCTAAAATATTTGAGATAATGATTCAATACATTTTGAAACAATATGAAATATATAGAGATGGAAACACGACGTGTTTTGGTTTTATATCTATTTGCTATTTAATAAAAATAGTCTAATAAAAAAAAAAAAAAGAAAAAATTTGCATGTCATATTTAAACGATAAAATGTTTTGGATTGCCTATTCTCGCAAAATTTCCATCATGAATAATTGAATAGGGCGATATGAGGACGGAAACTATTAAAGGTTCCCAGTCAAATCCATATTAATCGCGGGCATCATTCTCATTCGGCTCTCGTCCACTTTAGCATTAACATTTCCTATAATGGAGGTCTTCCACGAAACGATTTTGCGCATTACATTCGTCTCAATGCCAATAGCATTGAATGCAGTAATACGTTGGCTGAAAGGTTCGAACAGTTAATTAGCGATTACCGTATAATCGGCGGTTAACACTCTGGGAACCGATATGGCAATCACTCGTGAGGCACGCCTCTTGTTTGATGTAGATAATGATTATCTTCGAAAAATAATCCGTATAGTAAACCAGACAAAGAATCTCGGAATTTGACAGATGCTCACGCGTATATATATGTTATATAAATAATAATTGTAAGATATTAATATATTTGTTATATAATTAAATATTTTTATAATTAATTTAATTTTAAGATATTACATATTTTATACTCGAAAATATCTTTAAGTTTTTAATAATTTGAAAAAAAAACGTACATAAATTAGATATATTTTTACACATTTATTATACATATATGTATATATAAAGCATGATGAATATAAGCTTAATGAATACAAATTATCGACTAAAGCATAAAAACGTGCATTATAAATATATGGAATTATGAAAATTAATATTTTCTATTATAATTCCAACGAAGAATTCTCGCATTATATTCTGATCATATGCAAGGTCAGCAATTATCTAGCTATCGCTTACGTAGATCACTGGTTCTATTGCGCGAGTAACGATTTCACAAGAGTTGTAATTCATCTAAGAATTTGTCGCACCTACGGCCAATTGAGTATAATTGATCATAAATTTTATTTAACTTAAATGATTATACTCTATGGTGTAAGGCAATAGTGCACATTATCGTTGCTCGACATTTGTGTAGCTTATAATCACGAGGATAATAGGAATATTAGGGAGTTACTTAATAAGATAAATAGACTGCTGGCGAATAATACTGCTAAAAACTAGATGAAAGCCGAAGTAATTTATGGATGATGACGTGACATTTTTACGGTTTGTAGAATTTCAAACAGTGCTAAAAAAATCTTTCTTTACCAAAGTTTATTCCAATATAAACATTGACATGACGAAAAAATGCAGCGTTAAAAATTCATGAGAAATTAAAACCGGTTTCTAGTAAATGCTATAAAATTGTAATATATGCCGTCTTAGCATTTTTTTGGTGAATACTATTTGTAATCTGCCAGTATTTATGTAGGCGGAAATTTGGTTGTTACAATGCTTTATCTGACGATTTGTGCGGTATAAAACTGAGTTTATTGCAAATTTTAATAATTCCTCCGATCGATCTAGTAGCGTGCAGACAGATTCAAAAAATGTAACGGCGCATCATTTACGAGCCGCTTAACGGTTATACATTTTTAATATCCACTGAAATCCGGCTTCTCCTCCTTTTCTTTACGTAATCCCGGAACTCGCGCGGCACACGCACTTATTTACGCAAGAATTACTTTAATGTTTATAGTCTACGAGAATTGTAGCATTGCACAGATTGTCCTCCTGCTTTAATAAAAAATCTTGATGACGAAAAAGAGAATTAAATGAATAGACATTACACACTTTTCTATTAGAGATTAACTATCATGATTGAGACACAAGAATTTTACGTGCATTGAAATGTTGCGAGATATAAACGAAGAAAGAACTAATTTTCTAGTCGCTTATATTCTCAAATTTTGCAATCGTTTATTATCCAATAGTAATAATAAACATTTTAATCGTTATGTTTATCTTGGAGTAATGTAATAATTTAAGTGGTTCAAGAACAGTTTTAAAAAACTTTTAAGAATACAATTGTCAAGGTTAACTAGTCATATTTTGCCAATCGTAACAATTTTCGTATACTTTTAAACTTTTGTTTAAAACAAGAATTTAAAAGAATATTTATTGATATTCCCAATTGTCTTGATAATATTTAGCCGTTACACTTTTCGTGAAACTGAATAGATACCAGTCAAATGAATTTTTTAGGCGGTACCTAAAAAGAATGAATAGCGAAAGCTGGAAAGATGAGGATTTTTATGTAATAATTTGTATATATGAACTTGAATAACTACCTACATGTGACTGTGAACTATCTATATGTGTATGTGTGACTGAAGAGCAGCAGCGGTAAGCAGACGACGCCCTTCGTGATGGAGTTTTAATTAAAATTACGTACGTTTGCTTCTCGTAACGTGTATACGTTACTCTCTCCCCTTCTTCTCGCTTCTATTTAATATTTTTATGAGCTTTTCATTATGGACGCGCGTGTATACCTGAGTGTATCTTGAGCATGCTTGTACGCGCATCTCCTGGGCAAATCTATTTCGTAATCTCGAAAGAGCACAAGACATTTTTGAATGAACACTCGTGATGACGAGTTAAATTGGTTCTTTTTTTTCTCTTATATCCTACTGGTGTGAATCCTCATTTGCGAAATTTGTATGAAAAAATTTCGTAATCTCACGCGGGACGTCAATTGTTGCGAACAACGATATATTTTTGAAGGGCTTACAACGCAGACCTGTAACAAGCACCTTTTTTACGCAAGATATGTGTGGGGCCGTGATAAATGAGCGAAGAACCGTAGAAAGGAACGAGAAAAGGGGGAAATTGGGAAATTATTCGCACTTATGTGATGTGAAGGAATGCAATGTCGGAGTGCGCGCGCTTGAGAGGAAATTACGAAAAGAGCCACGTTGAATATCTTTTCACTGCACAGAAAGAGAGTATAGTAAAAGAGTACTCGCAAAAATGCTACTATTTTTCCTCCACGCAATTTGGAAAATTTTATTATCGATAGCATTGATTTATCGTTAATTAGATTTGGGAATAAGCGTAAAGTTTAATTTTTTATTTTGACATTTAGAGAGTTTTTAATTAATATTATTATTTTTTATCGATACTCTTATATCGTTAGTTGCATGAAAAACAATATAGTTATTCACAGATTTAAAATCACAAATTCGAAACTATAAAATTTATTGCTGAAAGCAATAAAGTGTTTAAAGATTATATTGCAAGATAATCTTAATTGCCTTAGCTCTAGGGGCTAATTCTCGTCGAAGTATTAAGCAATGAGGAATCTACAATGAATATTCAACATATTTGTAAATCCGTTGGTTTGTGCTGCATATGTATTATGAGTACTCATGGCAAATGATAGTTAATATGCGTTTGAAGAGTGTCGAAACTTCAGAATGGAAGAGCGGCCAGTAATCGTTGTAAACTTTGAAGTACATCAATTCGATTCTAGATTTTCGCAGAAATCTCAAAAACCGCAGTGATATGATATGATGTTTGTACGATCCATAATTTTACGAAATTTTAATGACAAATTCTTTGACGAAAATGAGAGAACGATACAACGTTCAAATATTTCATATAACTATAAAAATATGCAAATTATGAAAAGCAAGCAGACAATTTTTTTCTTTATATTTCAATTCCGATTAAATATGTAATTTAAAACTTATATTTAAGAATTATGTATAAAATTGTACATGTGTAATGATATCAGAATGTGGAAAAGAGAAAAGCGATAGTAATCTACCGGCATGCCGATAGGTTTGTTAAAGGGCTCCGTCACGGCTGAACGGCCGCGTACTTTGCGCCGCTTGCGGAACGTCTACGGTCAGACCGCATGCGGGATGGGAACTGGTAGCGACTGCGGGGGTGGAGATCGTCTCGAGGACGGTGAAGTCGCCTTTCGGCTTTCCGGCGACCGGGATCGCGACAGGGACGAGAAGTCCCTTAGCATAATGAGTCCCTTCGACGAGCAGGAGGAATGGGCGAAGATCTCGGAGATTATGGCATCGTTCGGAACTGGTCTTGTGCGAGAATCGGTGTTCGTCAGTGAGCTCGAGAAAGAGTTTCAAACGAGGCTAGGTAATCTTACCGCCGTGCGCGATGTTTTTCATTCCGTCGGCGATGATATCGAATGAACAACTTCTCAATCGTAGATCAATTTGCATAATTTATAGTGAATTTTGAAGAAATTATCCGCGTATTAAAATAATGTTTTACTCTTTACCTTACATTAAGTTATATATTTTTTTCTTACATGTCGCGTATTTTAATGTTTTATTAAAGTTGATATTTCGGCAAATTCTTGATAAAAAAATATTCTTTTATTTTGTATATCTTAGGTTTAAATTCAGACATTAGCAGCAGTCCTATCGTTTCCACATCCGTGGGTCAATGGCTGTCCAGTTTAAGTCTGGCGGATTACGAGTCTCTTTTTATCAACTATGGCTTCGACGATCTCGAGTTCATAGTAAGTAGAATCGCATGCGTTTCACGTACTGTGATTGCATCGCGAAACATGCGGAAAATCGTTTAATCGCGTGGTTGCAGAACGGGGTGTTGGACGAGTCGGATTTGCGCGACATGGGGATCAACAGCGATCAAGAACGGGCGATGATCATGGACTCGGTCGGATTGCTGAATAAACGAGTGGAAAAGCGTAGCGGCAGTCACGGCCAATCGGTAGAGGAGTGGCTGAAAAGCATCCACCTGGAAAATTATACGGAGACGTTTAGAAAGCATTTGTACACTGACATGGATCGGGTCAAACGAATCTGGGAGGTCGAGCTGGCAGCAGTCCTGGAGATCCAGAAGCCGGCGCATCGCAAACGCATCCTTGCATCCGTGAATGGCCCGAATAGTGCTCGCGCGGAAACTCGAAATGGCACGGGAACGAACTTGGAAGACTTGAATAAGGATCTTAATACATTGGTAAGTTACAGTTAAATTGCTTCTATTATTTTGATATAATATTAATTTAATTGTGTAAATGAAGTTTAAATCCATCCTCGAGAGATATATATATATATCAATCTTCTATATAAATAATTATAGAGAAATTAATGGGATCTAAATATATATATATATCATATATATAAAAGCTCATTACGCTTATTAATTAAGAGAAACATCTAAAAATAAGATTAAAAAATTGTTGATAAATTATATGGTTTGAAATATTCATCATATCGTAAATCGAAATATAGAAAGAATCGATAGATAATGCGTTCAACGAGGGTGTCTGACAAGAGCGAATACTTCGCCGGCGAGGGTAGATTGCAGCAGCAATCGAGGACTGGGGATGGTGTGGCAAACCTGATCGTTCCCGACGCATTTTGTTCGCTCGATCGCGTTATAATCTAAATATCGTGGCTAATTGGAGACTAGGTATTGTGATGCACGCGCGTATGTGTGCTCTCTCTTTCGGCGATGATTATTCGAGCGCCACTCGATGCTTTTTGTTCGGATGCCTCCACCGTGTTAGGCGTCGATAAGTACATCGCATTGCTC